GTACAAGTACAAAACCGTAAAAAAGAGATCCGCGAGAAAATCATTTCGCAGTACAGAAAATAAAATAATTTACAAGTATCGAACATACATCCACAAAAACCCCAAGAAAAAAAATAAGCTGGGATATCAAATGCACGTCTCGAACAAACAGGCAATTCGCCATGTATTGTCGCGATGACAATGAAGAAAATTTCAAACAACTGAACCTTCTTAAATCTCAAAGAACAATAAAGGAAACTCTAGACATTATAATGACCTAAGCGCGTTGGAAACCGCAAGAAGCAGATGGGAAAAAATATTTGAAAGCCATGTAAACGACAACGCTTAAGGCACAGACCCATATGAAACAGCGCCCAAAACAAACGCTAGCAACTAGTATTCTATAACATTTACATACGAGCAAAACTTGTGCCCTATGTAAAGCTAAACAGAACTTTCTTTTTGTAAAACTATTGGAATCAGCCCCACCTTAAGGCCTCCTTGGATGGGACAAATAAAACTAAAAGTAGAATCTATAGTGTCACCGATTTACAACCAGCCCCAACTTAAAAGCTTGAATCAGAAAGAAAAATGAGTAGAATGGCAGAACTATAAGAATAAGATCAATGAAAGCAGAAGAGTTACAAATAAAAATTTCACAATAACAAGCCGAATATACCTCGAGAAGAAAAGACTAGAATGGAGCTAACATATCATAACAGGGTATTATTAAAGACTATTTAACTATTCAAGTCGAATGAACACTAGTGGAGTTCGGCCCACGTGCAATAAATTTACCGGCATTAAAGCGACTGGGATCAATACCATCATTTTTTCCAGTAGAATGAGAGATTGGGGGCGGACTCAATGACGTAGCCGACGAAGTTTTCGATGTTTGTGCACTACCATTTGGAGAACTGTCAAATGCAGGCCGTTCACAGTTTGATGTATGACCGTTGAACGCATACGGACTGAAAACGAAAAGACGAAAATTAAAAATAAAATTTTTCAAAGCCAAATACTAGTTTTTCAAAAGATGCTAATCTCGTAAAATACTCTTATAAAACCGAGGAGAAAATGAAACCGGTACCAAAAATTCGAAGGATTTTAAAACTTCAATTAGTGATGCAAAGAATTCCTGACCGATAAACATTATTGGCGGCATTTGAAATCATAGCGGTAAAAACTTCCATTTTGTGCTCATTACTTATTGATGATGAAAGCTTGCGAGGTGCTATGCTCGATAAAGCACCATTAGTCATCGGAGGATGAAGCCCTGGAGGAGCTCGCAACAAATATGCCTTAATAAATAAAATTTCATCTTCAAAGAACAAAATACCTAGTGTGACATATGACCGTTAAACGCACACACAATGAGGATAGAGGAAATGGCAAATATATGACTATAAAATACACAATTTTTTACCGAAGAAGGAGCATTATTTACTGATATGTGCTTGGGTATTTCACATGGCTCTGGACCATAACGCGTCCTTGCCTCAGCCAACTCTATATCTTTAGCTTGAAGCTGTTCTAAAAACTTTTAAAAAATGTATTAAATAAGGAATTACAAAAATAATACATAAAACTACCAACAGTCAATCCCCAAAAGAAAAAAAGTATTCATAAAATATATAACAAAAGTCAAACTTTAATCATGAAAAAAGGCTTTTTATAAATAGTTAGCATACGTTGCAAAGTTTCTGTTTGCCTCCGGGTCTTCGTTAGTTCACTAAAAAGATCTTGTTTAAGCCGGTTTTCCGCTGAGAGCGATTGCTCCAACAGTTGACATTTCTTCGATAAATCATTAACCTGAGATTGCAACTCCTAAAAATAACTTAAGAAGCCTATCCTGAAACATATAAAGGATTTAAGACGCGATTTTTACTTGACAGTAGAAACATCTTTTACCCTGGCTCTCGTAACGCGCGATTAGTGTGACTATAGTAAAAATAAAATTTGTCGGCAGGGTAACTTGCTGCTCTTGTTTGTATAAAAATAGTTCAAAACTCTGAGACTTTTCAAAACAAGAAACTTTTTCGTTTTACGTTGTTTCGAGAGCTTGCAAAATATCAGCCATCCTAATATCTTCAATTCAAACACATCACAACAGAGGATAATCAAAAGATTTCTTGTGCTGACTTTTGCGATTACTCAAAAGCGTAAGTTTCAACACAAATGGAAAAGTATGTTGCCTTTTTTTCAATTTGAGAAATAGTAGATAAATATTAAAGAAACTGGCTTTTCTAAAAATTCAACTCAAAACCTTTATAACACAGATTTCCAATTAAAAGAATTGTAACTCAATTTGTGTAATGCGAAAAAAATTAGTCAGAAACGAAGTATTAAGTTAGCTAATTCATCACTACTAGAAAATTACATAAAGCAAAGAATAATATTTCTTGGAAAAGTCATTTTCATAAACCTAAGCGATGTACAGCGGCAGCTTGCCACAAAAAACTTGACCTTCTTCAGGTTCTTTACACCCTTGAATTCCAAAAACAAACGGAAGCAAATTCTTCAGTCGAAATGTTATTTAAGAAACACGGCTTACATGAGCATCGTTATTCACTTTCTGCTCCTGAATTTGCTTCAGTCTCTCCTCAAAAGAGTTGATCAAGTCATCTTTCATTTTAAGCTCCCGACGCATCAGCCGTAATTCTCTTTCTAAATCTGTTTTCTTCGCTCTGCACACTTCGCCACACTCGGCATTCCTGTAACAAGCAGAAGTAATGACAACAACTATCAAAAACAACTCTTCGATGGCAAAACCAAAAATTCTTGATCCTTAACTTTTTGAAATTCCGTCCCACGCCGTAATACCGCTAAACTTTCTTGGGGCTTCTATTCCACACATAAAATCAAAAGTTCAGCCGGGTGAAGTCTTGGTATGAGTCCAGTCAACTAATAAAGCTTTTCAGAAAATGAGAAGGTATTATAAAGGCCACGACTCAGACCGACGTCATTTCAACCATTCTACAACACCCAGACTGTTCGTTTATTTTAGGCTGTTGCTACCTGCTGTATCTTATTTTGTTTGCTTGGTACTGATTTTGGTGGGCAAATTTCAGGAATGGCTCGCCCGCTTCCAATGGGAAGTCAGTAATTTAAGACCAAAGTGGACACGATAGCTTAGACAATGACTAATCAAGCAATTTTTGGTGAAATTAATTGGATGGCTGAGGGAGATTCATAGACCGGTAATGTATCGTAAAGGCTTCAAAGTAGAATCATGCCGAAAGCATAACGACCAAAACGTTATTATAAAAAGGAAATGAGGAAAAACGATCTTCTCATTTAATTTCCAGTGTCTTATAAAAATGATCATCGCAGCAGAACAACGATTCGAAAACAGTGGAAAAAACTGACTTAGTGACTAAAAACAACCAATTAGAAGCTTTGAAACGGTTGACTCAAAGCTATACTACAAATCAAATAAGAAATCTGTGAAATCTCATAGATCGAAAGGCATAAAAAGTTGAAATATGTCTGGCAGTCTCAGAATTTTTGGTTAGGCCTCAATAAAAAAGCTCAAAGTACTACCGGAATTCAGCATAAGCCGAATCCCTAACGCAAAATAATCCAAAGAATGCTACACTTTAACCAACGTCAATTTTCCTTACCGAAGCAGCTTCTGCACCCTAATCCTAATTTATCATCAATATCAAAAAGCTTTGATAAGAAATCTTCTCGAACCTTCAGGAGTTTCTTTGCTTCACAATCTAAAAGGGTTTTATTTCGACATAAAAATTAAAAAGCGCATCAATGAAAAGTAGTTTTGATTAAAAATTTCTAAACCCAGATGAATTAAAAACAGTGCTCCGTCACATGAGTAATGCAGGCAAAAGGTTTTCGGAAACGACAAGACCCCCGACTCCTGCACAAAGCGTTCCTAGGCTTCTAAAATTTTTTTAGTGATACAGTCAACGTTCACTACAGCGCAGTATGAATTTACAGCCTTTACTCAATATTTAACTGTAAAACGTAAAATGATAGCATAAATATTTACTCTTCAAAACCTTATGACCTTCCCAATACCAAAAAACCTCAGTTAGTATAAGCCCGTTTTGAATTAACAAACCTTATGTTTGTCAAAAACTAAGTTGAAATTCCACTCCCACAAAAATAGAATCAAAGTTTCGAGGACTGAACAACAACACTTTCGCCACTGCCCTTTCTAATGATCAATTTACTGGCACCAGGATCTTTTGTGCTTGAATAAACCAATATCAGAGGAAGATCTGGTGACTACGAAGGATGGAAGGAAAAACCACGAGTGAACTTTTAATTTCCTTCTCATGAAAAATGCTCTATGATTTCATAACGTTATTGAACCCACCACCAAACCTGTTGATTTCATTGTAACCGGGTTGTCCTCAAAAGTCCCACTATTCTTCCCACCTAACTGTACTAAGCTCTAATTTTGCCGCCTACGACTGAAGTAACTAGAAGCAAATAACTGATGCAGAACAATTCCAAAAACGACCATCGCTTTTTTCTTAGTACGTATAGAGAACTGGCATACTAACTAACCCATCAACGTCATACCCATTTCCCAATCTACAATCACTCTTCAGTATTCGATTTCGTTACAAACGAATATACAGCCCCAAAACGCCTTTTACTGCACAAAAGCAACAACTAGGAAACTGGAATATACTCTTATAACTAGCTTTCTGTGAGAATGCGGACTGCTCAGTAGTCAACTCTCCACTGTTCCCACTTCGATTAAGCAGCATGCAACATTCATATATTCTAGTGTCTGATTTGCTGCCCTGATTGACAATCCGAACCCTTCTTTTCAAAAATTCCCTTGGTTTCCTTTTTTTGGAAGCAATTTTTTGAAAGATCTGCTCCCGTAACGGGTCTTCTGCTACTGTTTCCTGACAGTAAGTTCAAAAAGCAAAAACGCAAGATGCTGTTCATATACCTCTCTGCTTTGTCACTATTTACCTTTCATGCAGTAATGAGGAGAAGGTAAGACCATTATGGGCGAAAACATGCTATAATCAGTAAACTACAAATGATCTTAGCAATACTCTTAACTAGAGTCAGCAGTCTTAGAATGGCTTAGTCTGCCGAATATTCAGAGATGAAGAAAACAGTAATTGCGGAACACTTCGCATACTAGAGCTAATAAATTTTAGCTTGAAAGTCTTTACTCTTCTCTGAACGAAACAAGATTAAAAATAGCAACAGCTGTTTAGAACAAAACAGAAAGACTGCGCAACTCCAAAAGCCTCTACCAATTTAGCCACTGATTCCACTCCCTTATTTACTAATAACAACTTCTATTTATTAGAAAAGATTTATCTAAAGGAAACTATCCCATATTGAACCTTGTATTTAGTGAAAGGAATCCTCTTTTTTCGGCAATAACTAAAAATATAAAACAAACAAATCACTGGTACTACAAGCAGTGATCTGACAAAATGCGTCTCATACTTCAGTAAAAAAAAAATCGATCCGCCTTAGCAAGTATCCCTCAAAACAAATGCAGGCTTAAAACAAGTAGATTTGGCTAAAGTCGATAAAACCATGTTTATTTGAATGGGCAGGCAAAAAACTTCGTTTCATAAAAAAAAAACCTTTGATTGCAATACCCTACAAAGGTTACAAAAACTTCACAATTATCTGGATTTTAGAGAATTTTCAAGCCCGCAAGCACATTAGTTTCAAAAAGAGTGTTCAATAAGTCAACAATGAAAAAGTTGCAGAAAAAAAAAGATACGTGATCAACGCTTATTGCTCTTACAGTTGATGCACATGGAAAATCGAGTCTAAATAATAGTTACAGTTCAACCCAAACCCAGTAAAACTGCCTCTACTGAAGTACAACAAGACCTTATTTCTGCAAAAACTGCCAAAAATCCCTTCATAAAATGAACGCGGTCATGAAGTAGAACTTCTTCTGCTGTAAATTATAAAAAGTTTTTAAGCATTTTTTTCAAAAAACTAATCACTGCATAGTGACAGAAAATTTGGAAAATACGCTTCAAATAGAAGGAAATCAAGAAACATAGTGATCTGCAATGCTCCAAACAATCTGATCGAGGGCTGACAAAGACGATACAATTAAAATGTTTGCGAAATTCTCGAGTTGGCATTCCTACCAAATTCTTGTTGGAAAACTTCTAATTAAGAATATTTAAGTGTTTTCGACGGGAAACACTTAAAATAAACCCCCGGCCAACAGTTGAAGCAAATTCCTCTTATGATACGTCCAATAATGTACTGCGATTATCACAAATAAAATACTCACAGTGAAGACAGCAATAAGCACCAAATACTTTCTAATTGAAAAGATTTTATACCTAGGTGTTTAATTTCTAAACTGATTCCATCTGGACATGAGCTCAAATGTCGTTCCCCATAAAACTGCTTTAAATAACATATTTCCATTAAAAAAAACACTGATTTCTGAAATTAATAAAGGAAAATAAAAGAAGGAACTAACTTAGCATTGTGCAAACTCGCTCGAGCATGCTGCTCTTTCAGCTTCCTTTCGTTAGACAAGTCCTTCTCCAAATCTCTTGCCTTTGTTTGTGCCTCAATTAACCGTTTTTCCATCAGCTGCACTGAAGCCTTATCTTGCTCCCGCGCTTTTATACTGTTGGATAACCTTGACAAAAAAAGATGCTATTGAAAAGACAAACAAAAAGCCATCCTATAATTCACACTACGGTCCCCTCTGTGTCAGATGAAATGCTACTTGAGCAAATGGGAAAAATAAACTGATTGGAAAATAAAATTCCATTTCGCTCCATTTCTGTTACGTCACCCTTCAATAACAGTCAACTTTTAATCGATACTAGTCAAAAAAAAAAA